GCTCGGAAACTCTCTCTCTCCAGAACAGTATTGTATAGGGCACGGTAAGCACAAGCCAAACCCCAAATAAGCTGTACCTCCTTAGATTTATGTAAGCCGCACCGTCCCTGACTCAAATATTGGCTAAGTTTCTCAGGATCCCACAGGTGTTCAAGAGTGAAATCCCATGACATTGCAGGTCCCCATGCTTCTAAGATTTTTCCTAAACGTCTCCATATTCCCTGCCAGTCAGCATTCTCTGGTTTTGGAGGAGACTCCTCCTGCTTACTACTCCTGTATTGGAATACATTCAGGGAGATTGATATGAACAGGGCTACGCCCACAAGCATGAGAGTTAACTCAGTATTGGAAAAATGTCTGATAAACCAAGAGAAAAAGCTGGAAACTGGTTTGAACATCGTGTGGTTTGTAAAATTAGCTATTCCATTTGGGATGCAAGTGTCAAAATTCATATCATACCACATTGCATATAGGTACCAATATAGGTACCATACAGGTGTCTCCATCAGTGCCCTTATGTGGTTATATATGAACACAATTCCACAACAAGTAATTATGACACTGATGATTGGCCAGTAGGTCGCGAGTAACACCATAGCTTTTAATCCCTTACTCAGCGCTCCCACGATAAAGAGTGGGTTCATCGCTGGTATCTGCTCAAAAGGGGTTAATGAATTGAAGCTAACAAGAGAGGGGGGAAAGAAAAAAAAAGGCACTACCCAGACTAAGCAGTGCTCGAAGTTTACAAATATACCAGAATACTGGCAGTACGCCTGGTCTTTCAAGGTCAAGTTTTCCAGCACAAAAACCTGAACTACTGATAATGCTCCCTAATGAAGCTCTGTAAGAGCAGAGAGCAAGATTCTTTCTAAGAGCTAAAAAGCAGCTATGCCCGCATTCTCCACCAAAATCTGTCACAGAGTTAACTAGATTAATTTATGCCCGTGACAGGGGGCAGTAGGCCCCTGCCCTCCCAACCCCCCTCCTGGCCCCACAAAATGGGAAGGAAGGAAGGGGGGAAAAAAACAGCGGCAACAATCTATGGAGGAAAACTTATTTTACTAACTACGATATCAGAATGCAAGATAACACAATATAATACAATCTAATTGAAATTGAGACAAATTAATAGAATAAGATAGGAGAGAGAATTCCCGAGACCGAGTCAAACCTGAAAAGCTTGGAATGGCTAGGAAAGCACCCTCCAGCACCCACTGCCAGGCAGTAAGAGACCACCCCACCCGGAAGGGTCAGATCCCATGACTTCCGTAATGTATAGGGATAGGTACGTAGAATTAGAGCATTAACACTTCAATTGCAGGACATGATGTTTTGATGTGGAATACTGAAAATCAGAAAAACATAAAACCATGAGAAGAGTGCTTACCCTTGTCCTGGACTTGCTGGAAATCTCCAAAGGAGAGATCTCAAGTGTTTCCACGTAGGAAACCCCTTGTTCCTCACGTTCCTATGGCCTGGCCAGGGCTCACGCTGTCCCTGCTATGACCTGACCACCTCACCACCTGCACACCAATGTGATGTTAGGCAAAACGGCTTTTATTGCAAGCAAAACAACGACCTATATATTTTACATGCTTATCTACGTTCCTACGTCCACGTGCGTTTACTCGCGTCTAGTGTGTCTACGCCCCCAAGCATGCATCACGTCTCTTATCACAGAGCAGGGGAGGTCCTATCGCATCACAGCCCTCTTCCTCGTAAATGCCTACGACAACATCTCCCCCTCCCCATGCTCGGTAAAGCCTTGCCCCATTATAGCGAGATACTTGCATACCGCCTAATAGCCCTAGCGTAGGTTTTACAATTATATGTTTCGTTCCTTACAATCTCTCATGTAGCTTAAGATACTCCATTCATTGGTCAAAAGTTCGCTCTATCATGTGTCGCAAGCGGCGTTGCACGTGCCAAATTTTCACATGTAATACAACTACAAGCACTGAAGAAACTACTGTTAGAGTTAATATGATCACCACTGGGTGCAGAATTGCATTAAACACTCCTCTCGCTGTAGGCGACCATCCAAGAAGCACTTCCCACCAATGATGTTCTCTGTCCTTCTTTATCCTTTCTAGGACACGATGTATCTCTTTCGTATCATGGTGAACAATGATCAAGATTTTCTGTCCATTGTTCCGAATGCGTTGTAGCAATTGATACAGGTTGTCATGTTGCAGCAGTTTCCTCACTAATTCAAGGGCCATTCCAATAGGAGTTGGTAATAAGTCCTGAATCAGTGTGTAATTAGACTGCAATAACTGAAGTGATATAACTGGAGCTGTATAATTAAAATCACACCCTACAATATTAGTAAAGTTACAAATACAGAGATTTGAATAATTACCAGTATCCATAGTAATATTATCTATGAGTATGGAATTGCACTGGCGTGCAGTGTGGCCGCTCTTGCACTATTGACAAACAACTCTCGGCCATTGCCTCGCTCGTCACACCTGCCCCCTCCGTCCCTACACTGGGCTTTGATGTGGCTGTATTGGCCGCAACCAAAACAGGGTCCCTTGGCTTGCGGCGCCACAGGCACTATTGCCGTCGCTTCGACAGTGATGGCGTTTACTATGCCTTCCTGGATCGCAGCAGCGAGTCCCTCCGCTGTCATGGGGGTCGCCTTTTGTTTATCTAGCACATACTTAATGATCTCTCCCGGTGTAGTGGCCTTCCCATGAGCTGAGCACAACAGCTATTGTCATGGGATTTTTGTCTTAGGCAATCCATAATGACAGGATTGTGAACTGCTCTAGGTAAGTCCGACCCCTCCACCGCCCGTATCAGCCTGTCGGCAAATTCTTGGAAGGATTCGACTGGATCCTGAGTGATATCTGTCCAAGGGGTAAGGGGCTCAGCACTATGGGCAAGCCTTTTGAACGCACCAAGCATCGCATCTGTAGACGCCATCAGCTCTCCGGGCCTTAACCTGGCTACCTGCACATGGGGGTTGGCCATTCCCCCAGCTGTGCCCATGAGTCTCTGCACGTCTGTGCTGTGCGCAGGGTGTGTCGCATCCTCCTCAGCTATCACTGCCACCTTCCTACATTCCGACATCCACTCCTCTTTCCAGAGCGTGTACTGCACTGGTTTGAGCACCATGCGCGTAAGATTCACGATATCATGGGGAAGTAAAGGGCCAGGCCCCGTCAAGGCCTCCAGGGCATTCAAGGTCAGTGGCGACCTCAGCCCTTTCTTTTCCACCGCCTCTATAAGGCGTGCGACTCCTTTTGAATCGAGTGGCACCCATACAGGGCCTTCTTCTCCCACAACCACTGGGTACGCCTCCACCAGCGAGCCTTTGTCCTCTCTCTTCTCTAATCTTTGACCAATCTTCTCCTCCCTGGCCACCCTGAGAGCACCCAAAAGTAAGCCCCAAGTCTTAAGCTCAGCGCCCTTTTGAGCGCTCATTGCATGGTGCACGAGCACCATGGTAAGAGAATCCCACCTCCGATGGTCGAGAACATCACAGGGGGAGCATATGTCCCCCTCCTGCTCCAGGCGGGAAAGAACGGCGGCTATCTCCTTCCTAGAAGGAGGGTGCTTGCCGCAATATTCTTTGCAAAGTTGCAGAAGTACCTTAATAACAGATTCCATGATCAGCGCCCCGCCGTCCCCTCGGGTTTCTGCGCTGCAAAGATGAGCCGCACTGTCATCCCCATGGTCTTCTGGGGTCTAAGAGGCACCCTGCTGTCCCCTCAGGTTTACCGCTCCAAAGCTATTTTGAGCCGGGCAGCATAGGAACGTGCCTCACACGGGGCACCACTTGTTTCCGCATAGGAAACCCCTTGTTCCTCACATCTCTATGGCCTGACCAGGGTTCACGCCATCCCTGCTATGACCCGACCATCTCACCACATGCACACCAATGTGATGTTAGGCAAAATGGTGTTTATTACAAGCAAAACAACAACCTATATACTTTACATGCTTATCTACGTTCCTACATTCATGTGCGTTTACTCACATCTAGTGTGCCTACGCCCCCAAGCATGCATCACATCTCTTATCACAGTGCAGGGGAGGTCCTATCATGTCACAGCCCACCTCCTCATAAACACCTACGACAACACTCAAGAAAAAGATCCTTCTCCTGGTAGTCAGCTCTTAAATGGGTCTAGGAGATGTGGAGCCTGGCTCCACCCCTTCAGGCAGCACAGGTGAATTGCCTTCACCTGTGCTCCCAGGGCTGACTCATTGCTCGCCTCAGGTGATCAATCAGAGGTTCAGGACATGATTCAGCAGTTCCTATACAGTTGGGAACAGTGATTGTCCAACATCATGCATACTCCCCCCTTTTCCACTGGCATCATATCTAATGCTATCCTGTTCTCCCATGCTATTTGACTGGTAGCATCTAGCTGTTCAGCAATTCCTTTTATAGCATCCATAGTGTAATTTATGAACCCCGGCTGATTGTAGTGTATATAATTGATCTGATTTATGTTTTTATTAACAGTTATCCACCAAAACAATGAAGACTCAAACCCAGCTGCAGTCTGCTTCCTTGCTTTATGCATGTTCATGAGGGAGTCCTCTAGGTACTCTGATATAATCTATATATATATTTTTTCAACAAACAATCTTCCTTAACTCCTCCTATTTTTCCTAGGGTTACAGAGTTTTTCTTTTTTGAATGCCAGGATGAATGGTATAGCCAGTTAGAGAAGGGCACAGGTGCCTCCCCAGTTAGAGAGCAGGGTGGACCATAGGGCTTTCCTTCCACAATACCACCAGAGGTCTGTTCTGGGGATCCTTAGTCTCAAGTAGTTCCCTATCACATCCTGTGTAACATCCAGGGTTTCAGTGCATAGGGTGCACTCCCCCAGTGGCCTGGCAGGATTCACACCCTGCTGTGAGAGAGAGGCTATATGGTTACCAACAGCTGTAGAAAATGCAGGGGAAATCTTAATATCCTCACTATCAAGGATAGGGAACAAGAGAGACTTACAGGTTTCATTTCCCCAGGCAGTTTCCTCCTGGTAGAGTGCAATCATACATTTCATTATTGGGAAATCCCTAGTTCATCCCAATAGAAAGGGTACCACCTGGGCAGTTGGTTGCCCTGAGGTGCAAGCATAACAATTGCTATGATTGAGACTCTGGATGGTGTATCTTACCCATTCTGTCCAGGCATTCATGTCCCCGTATTCTGTTTCTACTTTGAACGTTCGTTTTACATCTTTCATTTCCTTGACACTTTTGAGTCATTTGAAGGGTCCCTTAGGGTTATCTAGGGCATCACAATATATGATGCAATCGTTGTCCCATACTAATATTCCCTAAAACCATTATCCTGAATCTCCCTTTTGAGTCTTTTCCTGAAATGTCTGCCCCTAGCCCAAATGTTCTATTTAGCAGGTTATCTACTCCATTTATGGTAATTATCAGGGGGTTACACTAATTTCTCACATACTATTGGGTAACTCCCTTTATGGATAGTGACCCTTTCTTGTAATTCTGTTACATTTGGCGTGGAAAGAGTCACATACCCACCTGTTAACCTGCTGAGGGGATTTGTGTCAACGGTTCACAGTCTGGTGTGGTCCGGTTCTGTGACTAACGGGATAGGGGAACCCATAGACCCACACCATGGGATAAGGGAAAAGGGGAAAGGATAGAGAGATGGGCCTAAAAACAGAACAGCAGCAACAATCTGAGGAGAAAAGTTAATTTACTAAATATGATATTGGAATGTGTATGGAAACTGCTGAATCATGGCCTGAACCTCTGATTGACCACCTGAGGCAAGCAATGAGTCAGCCCTGGGAGCACAGGTGAATTGCCTTCACCTGTGCTACTGGAAGGGGTGGAGCCCTGGCTCCACCTCTCCTAAACCCCATTTAAGGACTGACTGCCGCTAACTGAAGGTCTCTTTCTGGGTATCTCTCGTTATGTAGTTTATTGTGAGCCTACAATGTTGGTGAGTATTTTCATTTGTTTTGATTACCTTTTCTCTGTGATAATTAATCTTACAAAGCTTAGTATCTGTGCACTTATTGATTTCACATCTTATTATGTCTAACCTTTTTATACTTATTGATTGTTTATTTGGTGAGCCAGGAAGGCTGAGTAGACTGAAATAATGTCTTTTTTTTCAAATATACATAAATAAGTTAGGGGGAACAACATCACCCCTAGGTAAAATGATCCCTGGGCAGTTCCTGGGGTCTCTGGGTTCTCCTAATTATTAATTGGTAACCATAATTGAAAAATGGGACTCCCTGTGTGTTATGGGGACTATTTCCCCGTTCTACATGGCAGGATATTTTCAAAAATTAGGTAAAGACTTGCTAACTACAAAAGAATGACAGTTAGCTGCTTTTACAATGGCATGGCCACTGTTGAATGCATCAAACCAAGCTGAAATAAGAACTGATACTTCAGAAAAAATAGACATTATAAGACCTGCACGTAGCCTGTATGATTCCCCCATATGGCTAGTGTCAGTGCCAGGGGTTGGTGCTGGGACCTGTCCTCTTCAATATCTTTATTGTTGACCTGGATGAGGGCATTGAGTGCACCCTCAGTAAGTCTGCAGATGACACCAAGTTGGCTGGAAGTGTCGATCTGCCTGGGGGTAGTGAGGCCCTACAGGGGGATCTGGACAGGCTGGATAGCTGGGCTGAAGCCAATGGAATGAGGTTTAATAAGACCAAATGTCGGGTCCTTCACATTGGCCACAGCAACCCCAAGCAATGCTACAGGCTTGGGGCGGAGTGGCTAGAAGACTGTGTAGAGGAAATGGACCTGGGGGTGTTGGTTGACGCTCGGCTAAACATGAGCCAGCAGCGTGCCTGGGTGGCCAAGAAGGCCAATGGCATCCTGGCTTGTATCAGAAGTAGTGTGAACAGCAGGAGTAGGGAAGTAATTGTTCCCCTGTACTCAGCTCTGGTGAGGCTGCACCTTGAGTACTGTGTCCAGTTCTGGGCCCCTCACTGCAAGAAAGACATTGAGGCCCTGGAGCGTGTTCAAAGAAGGGCAACAAAGCTGGTGAGGGGTCTGGAGCACAGGCCTTATGAGGAGCGGCTGAAGGAGCTGGGATTGTTCAGTCTGGAGAAGAGGAGGCTCAGGGGAGACCTTATTGCTCTCTATAACTACCTGAAGGGAGGTTGTAGCGAGCTGGGGGTCGGCCTCTTCTCTCCTTCCCCTCCTGGTATCCTTGAAATATCTGTATTACTTCCTGTGAGTCTTTGAGCCTCTAGGACCACCGGAAGGGACAAAATATCCTCAAAGCGTTCCAGTGTTGCTGCCCGATCATGTGCAACACCCAGTCATGATTTACATGGGACTGATGAAAGATAGATGGACTTACTCCTCTCGATTACATGCTTCCAGTAACACCTTCAAGCACTGGCCAATGGAAGAACCTGAACTTTGACCAATCATTGCTCCTTAAATTGTGTCAACATACATTGCGATGGAAAATTGTATAAGCGTTGTGATGTGTCAGATCTCCGTAATAGCAAAGGCTCATCCTTTAGTTAACCCAATCATTGGTTCATGCTGTGAAGGGGTGGGAGTGTTTGGGACCTGTTTAATCATGACCTGAACCTCTGATTGATCACCTGAGGCAAGCAATGAGTCAGCCCTGGGAGCACAGGTGAAGGCAATTCACCTGTGCTACCAGGAAGGAGTGGAGCCTGGCTCCACCTCTCCTAGACCCATTTAAGGACTGATTGCCACTGAGGAAGGATCTCTCTCTGGAGATCTCTCATTGCATAGTTTATTGTGATCCTACAATGCTGGTGACCATTCCTTATTTTGATTATTTTTCCACTGTGATAATCTTACTAAGCCTTATGTCTGTGTCATGGTTTTGTGGTTTTTGGTATTCCACATCATAACATCATGTGGGGCACTGGGAGTTTAACTGTTAATGCTCAAGCTCTGGGTACCTGCCTGGAAGAGAAGAACTACTACATTCCCCGGGGACTTTGCAGTCACAGAGAGTCTCGAGATGCAACTCCTGGCAAGGTCACCTGGTGCGCTCTTTTTTGCCTGCTTTTTGTTGGCTCTCCTCCCTTTTTTCTCCCTGCTGCTCAACTGGACTGTGCATCTCACCTCCTCATTGTGGTGAGGCCTACCCACCTTTCGGACATTCTCTCTCTCATTATATTTGATTTATTAGCTTCAAATTTAATTATATTGTATTATAGTGTGTTTTCTTGCATTCTGATACTATATTTAGTAAATTAGTTTGTTTCTCTTCAAATCGTTGCTGCTGTTTCTAATTATTCTGGGGTCCCCTGTTCCCTTTTTCTGGAGGTGCGGATCTGTGGATCCCTCTGCCCTGCTAGTCATGGAACTGGGCCGAACCAGCCTGTAAACCGTTGACAGTCTGTACACTTATCGTACAGAATGCAAGATAATAAAATACAATGTAATTAGAATTGAGGCTTTTAAATTTAATGAAAGGAGAGTGTCCAAAAACCCAAGACCTTACTCTAACACTGAAGGCGAGATGGCTTGGGAGAAAACACTGCTGAGATGAGCAGTAAGGAAGAGGGCTGTCTTGTGACTTGCGAACAGTTTTGTCTTTCCCTCTGAATGGAAAACAGAAACAACAGTGAAAAGTTCTCTGGGGTATGTAGTTCTCTTCTGAGAATCAAGTAGCTGGAAAACCTGTATTCCACAGAACTGGAGCATTAACTCTTTAACTCCCAGTGTGCTACATGATGTTATGATGTGAAATACTGATAACAAAAATCATGATGCCATTACAGTTTGTTACCCGCCCCTGCTACTGAGTGGTCCAAAACACATCATTCTAGGTCAGGCAAGTGGACACTTATCACTCTTTCTGTGATTCAGGGCACATATACTCGTTCTCATCACTTAACTGCTTCTGACTTTGCAGATTGGCACACTGTATTACTTGGCAAGCATCTGTTTGTATGAACACTGCATTTGGGGTCTCAGTTACCCCAGGCCCCTTCCTCCCCTTATCAAATCTCCCCCAGTTGCTAATGAGATTATAATTATTAAAATTAGATTTGTCCAGTTTGACTGCTGTTCAATCTTTTTCCAAGACCTGTGTGTTCAGTACTTTGGCCTCTGTAGCTTGAGCTTCAATAGATGGTCAGTAATTTTACTTGCCACTCATCACTCATTGGAGTTTCAACTGGGCATTTAATTCATG